GAGCCACTCACAGCGCTTGAGACTACAAAGCTTCTAAGCACCGGTCGCTGTGATTGGTGGTGTCCAATCGAGACGTGGTCAATCGGGATCACCCCATCGGTTTAGCATCCCCTTAAGTCATAATCGGTGAAGTTGGTCAGTAGCCAACTTGAACGACTTGGTTAAGACTGGTTAAGACTTCTGACGTTCTGACTTGCGGCTTATTGTAGAAGGCCTATAAGAGTTAAGCCTTAAACACAATGTGAAGGAATAGCGATAGCGATAGGTATAACACAATTTCAACCTATCAGAAAGTGTATATTCCAGTGTATCTGATTTCTGATAGGTTGAAATCGTGTTATTCTTATCGCTATCGCTATTCCCTCGCATTGTGTTTAAGGCATTACAGAATTGGCTCCTTATTCTCTATTTTAGGTATGTGTACGTACCAGTTTAGCTGTACAAAGGAAACATATAACAGCTTTCCACTGTGAGCACAATATGGCTGCTTTAGGCTGCTTTCCTTTTAGGAGACACAAATCGACACAGTATTAACACACTCGAACACAGTTTGCCACACTTAAATAGAACGCCATAATGTGTATCGTGTGTACGAACTTTTAATACCTAACCTTAAAAGATTCGAATTTTAACCTTAACGAATACACGAGATCCGATTATTTCTTTAAGATGAATGCAATAACGAATATTCTGATGGAAAATAGCAGTAGTAGTAGTAGCAGTAACAGCAGCAGTAGTAGTAGCAGCATTACTAGTAGTGAATATGAATTTTCAACTGATGATGAACATAATCATGATATTCTGTTTCCAATCTTACAAATGCTGCTAGCTGGTCGTAAAAGGCATCGCGTAGAAAACTACATCGAAGTTGTACAGGGTGGGCCATCTATTGGTACGTTTTTAAAAATGCGATCAAATGAGCATACATTGATATTTTTTATTAATTTTTTTTAGAGGGAGCCACATGAACGAAATCGTTTTTCATTCTTGACGCGGATACTTTTAGCTTCACAACAAAAAAAAAATTAATAAAAAATATCAATGTATGCTCATTTGATCGCATTTTTAAAAACGTACCAATAGATGGCCCACTCTGTAAAAACGTACCAATAGATGGCCCACCCTGTACATAGTTGGACGGATGCAGAATTCAAAGAACTTGAGATTGCATCGTAATGTTGCTATAACATTAATTGGTACATATATGGAAATTATTTCTTATAGATTACTACATTTTCTTATTTTAACAAATGTTATGACATATTTCATGAATGTGTATATGTCAATAGGATAATTTCACAGTTACAGTTAGTACAGAATGATGAGAAATTATGACTGATATATCTAAATAAGATAAAGATAAAGATAAAATTAGTAAATTACACGATTACCTTCCTTTTGCAGTTATTTCACACCTTTACAGAATAAGACTTTCTTGCTTTTGATATTTATGAAATATATGCGTAATTTTTGTAATCTTGAATATCAAATAGATAATTATTCCTTACTATTATTATTCTTATCAATTTATTCGCTTCATAAACTTTCTTTATTATTTTTTATTTGAATTTGCAGATGAACTTGCAGAAAGTGGAATTTTGCCATCACATTCATTTGGTCGACCAAAGATATCCGCAGAATGGAGTTTATTTATCACATTATGGTTTCTAGCTAACACTGAACCGTATCGCACTTTATCGGATAGATTTGATGTGTCCATATCATCAATATTTCGCGTGATTCGGCGAGTAATTACTTGGATTCTAACTAAATTAGATAACATAATCGAGTGGCCAGAAGGAGAATCATTGATTGCAGCAGCTCAAGGCTTTCAAAATAAAAAAGGAATTTGAAATTGTATTGGGGCGATTGATGGCTCCCATATTATCATTCTACAGCCACAAGAAAATGCTGCTGATTATTTTAATCAGAAAAAAAATTACTCGATAATATTACAAGCAGTTGTTACAGCTGATATGCGATTTACAAATATTTATTGTGGTGAACCTGGATCACTCCACGATGCCAGGGTATTACGGCGATCAAGTCTTCATTGGGAATCACAAAATAATAAGAATAGAATATTTCCGAACAGAACGTTTATATTAGGTGATTCTGCATATCCGTCCTTGTCTTGGTTAGTACCACCGTTTAGAAATAATGGTCAACTCACAGCACAGCAAATTGAGTTTAATTTTCTTCATTCATCTACACGTATGGCAATAGAAAAGGCTTTTGGTGTATTGAAAGGACGCTTTCGACGCTTAAAATTTTTTAATGAGTATCAAGATATTCAATTTATAATTGAAGTAGTTATTGCGTGCTGTATTTTACATAATATATGCATTGCTGCTTTTGATGACGGCATGGATTTATATGATGAAGATAGCGGTTTAGATAATAATATAAATGTAAGAGAAAATGGAAATGAAGAAAATGGTAACGACCGAAGATCGAGTTTATTTTATGAAATGTTTCCACAATGAATATTTATATAATATAATATCACATCTCATATGTATATTCATAAATAACTTTTATTTGTACTTTGCATACTTTGTCCACGTACCTTTTAAACTTTACTACGAAAAATGTAACTCAATGTATTTGCTTAGAATAAAAAAAACATACATACATTTATGCAAATACAAAGTCGTTATATAGTAATATTATATAACACATAAGGGATTGTCTTCTTTGTACGACTTTTGACAAAACAAAATTATATTGATTACACTAATAATTCTTATTATTGAAATGAGATCGCTCTAAAAACTCTTATACATTTACTAACGACATGTAACTTTTAATAATATAACTAAAATATCTTAGAAAATTGTTTTAGTCTAAAACAAATATATATTTCTTTAAATTCAACTTGGTGTATAGGAACTCTTTCAGAAACTCATATAAACTCATAAATTTTCCAATTAAATAAAGACTTTTAAATACTAAAATAAAAAGGAATCTGTTTAAAGAGTTTTAAATTACAAATATATTGCGTTCTATTAAACTTTACGTAACTTTTAATTAAAGTAATAAAAAAAATAATTTTAATAAACAGTACTTTTCTTATTTTTTAAATGAGAGCATATCATTCATAGAAAATAGATGTTTTGAGTCTACCAATTCTTTCAATAATTGGCATTTTTCATTTTCAATTCTCATTCGTTCTCTGTGCCTCTCTTCTTTCTTTTCCATTTTTCGCTTTACTACCGCTTCTTTCCATAATAACTGTTTTTCTTTTAATTGTAATCTCTCATCTATTCTCTTTAGTTTTTCATTGTCTTTCTGATTTTTTATAGCTAATACTTTTAGATGTTCCAACCACTGCTTTTCTAGTTCCAGTTTAGTCTTGGCAACATATGTTGCAGATCCAGGTCGACTTTTTTTTCTTTCTTTAGAAAGTGGTGTTTCAGAAACTATATCAGAAGATGTTTCAGAAGATGCTGCAGAAGATGCCATATTTAATAACTCTTGCTGACATTCAATTCTTGAAAGTTTTGTTGGTAATGATTCAGATGTAGATGATATCGCTTGTTTTCTTTTTGTTGCTGTCGATATTTGTTTATCAGATTCGACGAATGAAGATGATTGTCTTTTGCTCCCAAAAAATGAAGAACCGATTATGTGATTGCAATTAATATTTTTTCGGTGTCCAAACATTTCTTGCATTTCATTAAAATAAGCAAATGTCATTGGACTTCTTCCTGATTTAGAATTGTTGTCGACACATTCTTTATATTTCTTTAACAGTGCATTAAATTTCCATCTGGTGTGATCAGCAGTCACCTGAAATAATATTCATTAGTTAAATTTTATACCGTATCGAGAATTTCAGATTCATTAACTTATAAAAAGTAATTATACATACCTCATATCCTAATGTTCGTAAATCTTTCGCAAGATTCTGCCAGAAGTGTTTGTGTTTTCTAACATTTTCTTTATCAGGTTGTATAGTATGATATACAGTTAATAAACCTAATATAGCATTATGGTTCCACTGGAATGCTGCAATACATATATTACATGACATATATAATCTGAATATATACCTTATTGCTATCAATTTATGATACTTATTATAATTATAATTTATAATAAATTTAATTTATAATAAAGATGCAAAATAATAACTGTGACTATCATTCGAAAATATATCGTAACCAACAATGTTATTCAAATGATTTCAATGATCACAAACAGTGTTATATAGTATGTTTTCTTTTTTGACATTGTTTATCTTTTTGATTTGACTTATTGTTTATCCTTTTTGACATTCAACGAACGATAAAGATAAATTGATATTTGTGTCAAATATGTCCTCTAAAAGGAAAGCAAACATATTTGCAACAAAGATAAATATATGTATGTATATATATATATATATATATGCAAGATATTTATATACATACATATTTACAATTATATTTTTTAAGAATGATTTCTAATCACTTTTTGAAAAAGTCAAAATTATTCAACTCTGAAAGCAGAATAAAATTCGCTGTTTTTAGAGTTGAATGATCTTGACTTTTCTAAAGAGGGATTAGAGTCATTCTTAAAAAATAAAATTTTACTCTAAAAAATTTAAGGTTAAGGGAAGATTCAAATATACTTACGTTCATCTTTTCCAACCTTGTTAAGCGGCTCGCACTTATGATTCCTAAACGCCTCTGCATCAACAAAAATGCCGTCACAAGTGGCACAAATGAAATTAGAATCGAAATCCTATACAAATAATAAGAAAAGTTAACATCAATAAATTATTAATGTAATAAAAGTTAAAAAATCTTAATATACAATTGTTTTCTTATTTATTCTTAATATAAATTGTAAGTGTATAATACTTGCCATTGTAATGTTTTATTAACATTCATCTAAATACCGAGACTGGCCGAGCAAAGAAAACAGAACAAAATGGTGGAAATTGGTTTGCGGGTGCGTTCTAATATCACTTAATTCATAAAATCACACTTGAACAGACTCGAAACACACTCTGACTCTCCTCCCGAGCAGAGGCGAAGTGTGTCGATTGAGTTTGAACAAAATTGTAAATGGAAAGCGACGTGTGTCGATTTGTGTCAAGTGTGTCGACTGCGTCTTCTAAAAGGAAAGCAGCCTTAATTAGGTGTGGAGTAACACCAATCAGAAATCGCGACGCGAATGTCGCATCTCTCATATATAAAGCCAGCGGCACACGATGCTTTTTTTCCT